CCGCGTCACTGCTGGTGTGGGGGGGGCTCAGATTTCGCAACATGTCACAATATATATTCATTAATTTCATTTATAATGACTAATAAAAACTTGTTTATTATTAATGGCAAGCTACATGAATACAAAACTAGAGTTCACAAATATATACATATGCCTGCCATGACTCTGACAAAATATAAAAGGGTACCCTATATAAGAGGTATAAAAGTATTTTATTGTCCCCCTCAGTCAATAAAAATGTTAGTTAATAAGGAGAAAAGTTTTAAATCAGCACTAAAGAGGTTTTTGTATCATCATTCCTTTTATTCTATGAATGAATATTATCAACATGCAAATGAATGAATGAAAAAGATATATGTAATTAACATATTTTATATCTGCATTCGTTAACTGAACTTTCAGTATATTTTAATATTGGTATATTGTGAAATGTATATGTTATTGTTGTGTTGTGTAAGGTTTTATGGGTTGTAATTTAATCGATTTTTACTTGAACAATTTCCACTTTTTTGTGGTTTGATTATCACTATGTATAATTTCGTTTTATGACCGCTCTGTATGTGACTGAGTTCAATTTTATGAACTGTTCTTGTGTATGTTGTGTATATTGAAAGCTTGTGAAATGCATATGTTATGGTGTTGCATAAGCTTTTATGGGTTGTAATTTAATCGATTTTAACTTGAACAATTTCCACTTTTTGTGTTTTGATTATCACTATGTATAATTTCATTTTATGATTGTTCTGTATGTGACTTGAGTTCTATTTTATGAATTGGTCTTGTGTATGTTTTGATTTCATTGTGACTTGTTCAACATCCTACGCTTCACCAAAAAGGATTTATTGAATTTAAAGAATTTAAATGAAATGAAATGAAAAATGGATATCTGGAGAATAAAGGAAATGAATAAATGAATGAACGAAAGTGATCGAGGTTAGCCCCTTCCACTGGACCCAACAGAGTAGGTTTCTTGCACCTCCCCAACTGAGGACTGGAAACAGATTCAGTTTCTGAAATGTTGTGTTCTTTAGAATACCAAAGGATGGACAAATTCCAAAAACCCAGTAAACCCAAGTCACACACCATCGTCAGAACCCTCTGGAATCTGCAGAATATAGTGCTGCAATACCAATGCTGGAACTTACTGATGGTTTAGCAGTGAGGAACACCTTCATGCTTTGGTTGCAGCTCAGCACAGGATGGTTAGCAACACGATTCAGGAATCTATGAAGCAAAGCCATTCGTGCCACAATGAACTCTTTGGAATAACGATCCAGCTGAGCAATTAGCGTGTGCTTCCCAGGCAGCGGCTGTAAGAGTTCAGACAACCTCCAATGAATTATAGCTAAACACAAAGATATATTTTGTTTTAAAAAGAAGTAAGAAAATAGAATAAATTTTGCCATAAATTATTTAAGTTCATAAAAAAATGTTGCAACTTCCTAGTAGGATGATATCACCACAGTAAATAATTTTATATCACCCCTGCTACTTGTAGGAGAAAGGAGAAATAAAGGAGAGGCAGGATGATCTAAATCGACCTGACTGACAACAGTTTCTTGCTTGTAGACAATTCAAAACTCTTGGTAAGTGTGCAGGAACAAAAAAATATTGTCACAATTTAGTGACTTAAACAGTGTTTGGATTGGTAACTGGATTTAATGAAGGATTATAATTCAAAACTACAGGTAACTACAACAGTTTCACACGTCTACACACTGTACAAATCACTGTACTTCAGCACACATCAAGTCTTTCATGTCTTCGCCAGTCATTGCCTGGTAACAGATCTCAACAATGGAGATTTCTCTAATGCTCATCTGCTCAGTTATGTACATTAGTTTAAGAACTAAAATTATTTGTTGCTGTTGTTATAAAATGATGTTTCTCTTAAAAACTAACCAAGAACCAGAGATGGGATGGGTATCCAAACAGTTGGTCTGCTATGTGTTAATGAATTATGGAACTACAAACACATGCATAATAGCCTATTCACTTGCAAAGACACAGACACATTCATACACAAAGACAAAGGGCTGCATATTACTCACTGGAATGAGATGAGTTGGGAAAGCCTCAACCAACTTCTGACGAAGCCAAATGAAGTCATTATAGCGTCTTCGAACAACATACTCAGTTTCATCAAACTCAGCACGAGAAGTCTGAAAATTAAAATATCTTCTGAAAATACACATCTTGTCTGTATGATGAGCCAAATTAATGATACTTTGAAAATAAGGGTTCCGGAGATTGTATTAGCCAGTAATATACATTTTGAAATATCCCAGTCTTTATTTGGTAATTTATGAAATTTACTGTACAAAATATTTCACTTACCCCTTTGATAAGTGAAGAGGTGGAAAATTAATTTGGTTGGCATGCGTTCTGTTTCTTCTGTTTTAATATATTTGCATAATTTAATCCCTTGACTGTACTTATTTGTATTTCGAAACATAGTAAGAATCAATGTGTAAGAATATACATATTAATTATTTAAGGTCTCATTCCAAATACATCTTGCCCTCGTGTAACTTTAAATAGACATGAACATTCAATGTAAGACAGTTTATTTCCTGTCTAATATTTTAACATTTTAAGCACTCATAACATTCTACCAGATAAATGCAGGAGTATGACTGCAAACAACACAAGTGTACCTACTGCAACATAAAATCTTAGGATAATTTTCTTATGATCACAATATTTATAATTTTTATAATATAAGAGAATTAGGACTCTGTTCCTATGCAAAATAGTCTGAAACAAGGAGATGTTTTATCACCACTGCTTTACAACTCTGCTTCAGAATACACATCTAGGTCCAACAAAACCAGCTGGGATTGAATATGAATGGTGTAAATGTACTGCCGGATAACACATATATTGTGAAGTAAAATACAAAATCTCTGGCATTAGTAAGGAAGTTGGTCTAGAGGTAAACAAAGAGATAACGAAGTATATGCTGATGTCTTGTCAACAGACTGCAGGACAAGATCATAATATATACATAGCTAACATAACTGTCAAAATGCAGCAAAATCCAAATATGTGAGAACAGCAAAAAAACAAAAATTGATTCATGAAGAAGTTAAGAACAGAATAAATTTTGGTAATGATTGCTAACATTCACTTGAGAATCTTGCCTTCCTGCCTGCTGTCTAAAAATATTAAGATTAAAATATACAAGATTATAATTTTGCCTGTAGTTTTGTATGTGTGTGAAACTTGGGCTATGACATTATTGGAAAAACAGTGACTGATGGTGTTTGAGAATAGGGTGCTGAGAATATATGGAACCAAGAGCAATGATACATCAGGAGAAAATTGCATTATGTTGACTTTCATAACTTTTACTCCTAGCCAAATATAGTTAGAACGATCAAATTGAGGAGGATGAGAAAACCAGAAGAGACCACTAGGAAGACCTAGTTGTTTTCATGACAATATCAAAATTATATTACATTTTTTATTTTCAGTTCTTGGATCAAATCATCTCCCCATAAGGCTGGATATAAAACATGTCACACATTACAAGTTCATGATGACTACACATCATACGTCCTTACTCCAATAAAATATATAATCAGGCCTCACACAGACAGCACAAGTTGATCTTAGAGCAATGGGATAGGTGGGGTATGGGCAAGCTCAGGGTACAGATCAGTGATAGGCGCTTTATAACACGGTAATGATGATGAACCTATGACTTATATGTAAAATCAGGAAATTCTTAAGTAGCTAAGTGAATGTTTACTTCTAAAGGACTCAGTTCCATGGAAGGAGTTGTATAGTTCATTAGTTAGTTAGGCTCTCTGACCCAAAATACTGGTATGTAATTTAAATTATTTTCACTCTTTATTCCTTCTTCAAAATGGGTTCTCCATCTACACAGAACAACAGGCAAAATTTTAATTTTACACATTTTACTGCAACAAACTGATACATTTAGCCCATCATGTACTAATGCCAATTCTGACTTGTGGGCACAGTGGAAGGACAAAGAGGTCATTCAAAAGTCTGACTCAACGTTTCCTAGGTAGTTTTGCCCTATTGGACATTTAAATAGGATTCACAGGTTACATTACTTTAAAATGTGTCAAAAAGGTAAAATTCTCCCTGTGCTTAATTAATTAAGCACCAAGCAATCATGACCTTTTGGGAATGGAGGTAAAGCTCCACCATTCTTGACCTTGGCACTAGATGGAGGTGAGTGGTCAGCTTCATGCCCTACTTATTTTACGCCTGGGGAAAGAGCCCCTGGTACCCATTGGGTAGGAGGATGTGAGGGCCCCAGACTGTCTGGATGCTGTGGAGAAGGAAAAGATCTCTTTTCCCTGGTGGGAATCAAACCCCGGCCGTTCAGCCCGCAGCCCACTGCTATGCAGACCGTGCTATCCTGGCTCCATAAAAAGGATTTAATNGAGAAGGCTTGTCATCACGATCCAGCGTCCACTCATGGCCACAATTGAGGTACTAATGTAATAATGACATTAATAAGAATAGATCCGACTAGAATCGAATCGAATAGCCAAAAAAAGCTAAGAAGCTAAGAAGCTAAAAAGAGCTAAAAAGAGCCCCTAAAATGGGTCGTCTCGGGTTTTTATAACCTCTGCTATGCTGACTCGTTGTCTTCCGGGTATAGGGGTCCTCCTACCCTGACGTGATTTTGGGTCGGTGTAGCTTGATTATTGGTTGTCAATCGAGAAGGGGTTGACTCTTTTGGTAAGCCGCCTCCTCCTACTCAGCATTTTTCATATTCCTTAGTGCTTATGACACATTTCATATAGCCCTTCCGTATTGTCAGCGGTTCCCGCTGTCGTGTTAACATTCTGATTAGTCAGGAATTTCTTTTACTTCCTTGTGAACCCAGCTCTCCGGTTCATGTCCTTATTACTATTCAGTTTTTTTTTTGTGTTTTTTTCCATCTTACATCGAATCGTAGTGATTCCAAATTTACCCAAAAACTACTTCTACATGTACGTAACCCTTTGCTGCATAACATTTTACATTTTATTTTAGTCTGTTAGAGCTCCTCAGTTTAATAAGATAATAAGAAATGACAAGCCAATGATTCTAAAAAAGAAAAGGAGAGCAACATAAACCTGTTCAATGCAAAATTTTCTGTACTTATACATGATGTTAAAGTGAGACAGAACACATGTTGCTTCCAATAGCATGGCAACAGTTTACTTCATGACTGTAGAGGGAACGACGCAGAATTTCCTTTGCATTGGGTGTAGATCCCCTGTACTTTCATTACGGATTAAACTACAAAAACTTGCCGTTGAATCATAGAGCTCACTGCAAGAATAATTAATTCGAACTTTAAGATGAAAAGATCTGAATAAGCAGAACTTTCATGTGCTACTGTATTGCTCTTACTACATTTGTCAGCTGTGCGAAGAGATATAATCATACTGGAAAGCTGCATGCTGAATGGAGACAACATATGCTGTACCCTCTGTTCACAGTGTTACTGTATTTCCTTCTTTACCTATATTATTTACAGCCATGTCAATACCGAAAATATAAGAATATGGACAGAAGACAATCCTCAAGCCACTCAACAAGTGTCATTTCACAGTATACATGTGATGGCATTGTGTACTATAAGTGTACATCAGATTGTATATTTAACTTGCAGGCCTTACTTCAACATAAATATTGTTATCTATGCTCCCTAACAAGTCAGCAATTTGGGGTTTCATTTTAATACACAAATCCACAGTATTTTACACGTTCACCCAAAAATAATCGGAGCATGTCATGACATTCCTTACACATATTAACAATAATTTAGTTTTACTTTATTACCCTTGTTGTGATTCGAAATGTGATATATGTTTCAAGCGTGTCAAGATGTTTTTGTGGATTATCAACTTTCACTTGCAGATCTCGTGTATCCAAACCAAATTCTGACATTTCTTGATCAGGGAGGGTGGAGAAACTTTCTATTGATGGCGAAGCCACCTGAAAGTTGAATATAAAAGTTATGAATTACAATCAAGTTAACTACGTATTAGATGTGGTACAAACTATATACAAAGATGCAAAATATAATTAAAGGCGCATTGCTCTTTGCATGTCATTCTTGTATTAACTGCAACTCGTGTAGTGATTAAATTGATATTACCACAGACCCCTCCAGGGATGTGCTATAATTTGACATTATGTCAGTATCTTTACTGTCTTCCTTCTTTAGAAGTGTAGATTTGCATTCAGAAGAAACTTCTAAAACAGCTGCCTCTTCTGGATCCGCCATTATTTGTATTACTGTTATGTTTCCGCTCAAAAATTCAACGATACTACATTATCAAAGGTTATCCAACGAGAATAAATATGACATACATAGCTTTAAGTATTATCATCAAAGCTTTTTACTTAACCGCTGCGCTGTGTTACTGTTTCTGTACATTGTTCTAAAACTATAATAAAATGAGTTCCAATAACTTCGGATTTTATTAAAACTCTTTTTTGGTACTATATATATATATTCGAGTCGACATATAGCCGTCTGAAGCACGGATCAGGCACGCCGTGATGGCGGTGATGGCCGTGATGGTAGCCGTTGTTTTTTGTCTCTCTCATTTGTTTTCGGAAATAGGGTTATGGTATATGAAAATGGTTGATGATTGTTCGCTCTTGAACCGGTAATGTGATAAATTTTACGTACTGTAAGTGTTTAATTAAAAAAATGGACAAGGAGATGACATTAGACGAAGATTTTAGATTGGACGAAGAAGAAATTAACTCTGATAATGTTAGTGATCTGGAGCCAGTGACTTGGTTAAATGATGAAGATACAGAGGTTAATATGTTTTTCCACAGAGTGGATTCTAATCAAATTATATATCAAACCAAGAAAAAGAAATGCAAGATGATAGGGAAATATGTGATGGGGGATCTGTTAGGAGAAGGTAGTTACGGTAAAGTGAAGGAAATGTTAGACTCAGAAACGCTCTGTAGGAGAGCTGTAAAAATTCTAAAGAAGAGAAAGCTACGGAGGATACCCAACGGTGAACAGAATGTTCAAAGGTAAACACCAAATAACTATGTAATATAGCCAGAATCAGTGAATATGATTTTTAATTCGGTGATTAGTAAGTTATAATAACCTGTCATCAGTGTGTTGGGAACATCCATCCAAAATAGTAATGAAGTACTTTTATGTCATATATCTAAAATTGTTATCGAAGATTACGTTTTAAGAATACTGGGAATTCAAAATGACTTTTTTTTGCATGAACTGTGCCAATTATTATTATTAAAATGTTGTTTGTGTATAGTACATGGAATCAGATCTATGCTGTTTCACTTCATGTTTTATTTCTGTATATACAGTTGAAATATTTATTCAAGTGTTACCCATCAACCTGTGTGGATGAATTAGGTGTATAATTCAATTATTGACCTTTTGGACGTTTTCTGTCCTGCTTTATATATATTTAAAACATTTCAGAGACTTGACTCTGTCTCTGCCCTTAGGTAACAAGCCTATCCAGTGGCACCCAATTCATAGAGCTAGTTCCTATCTCCTGAGAAGCAGATACAGAGTTCAATCCCAAAACACTTAAGTAAAAGACATGATAGATAATGCCCAAAAGATCAATAATTATATTAATATACTATCAGCACAAACTTTTAGAACAAGTACACGATTCATTGGCGCTATCATATGCAACTATCATCATTCTTCAGACAGTACAGTATACTCTGCAAAACAGATGATATTCTTGACTCTGGTATAGTTTTGCTCACAGGAACCATAGCCATCCTCTGCAAGACATGGCTGTGTAATGGTGATACACTGGGTTTTATTACTGAAATGTGTAAACTGACATTTTGTAAAATTCAATTTAACTAATTTTTAATTAGGCCCATTGTGCACCATGCTGTTGGAGGGAATAAATATCGTTGTTGTAAGTTATGATAATTATGCATTTGTTAACATAAGTTAACACATATACATATAAACAGTAGTTAATCTTTGTACACCATGAACTGCTGTGATGACCAGAGAGTTTCATTCTATGCTGTTGTCACTACTTCAGTGTCACAGCTTGCCTCATGAACAAGACATGAGGGGAATGGGCATAGCTAGTTTGCATGACACTGAAGGAAGTCAGTGCATATAGATCAGTAACAGTTTCTAAATCTTGCCCTAGCTATGGTCTATCTGGAATTTTGATTTTCTGCAGATACCGTATTTCACACATCCAATTTCCACATTCTTCTTGACTTGTTAGTTATTTGCTTTAAACACAGAATATATTGAGTAGGAATGGAGGAATGTAAACTGAAATCTATAGTAACTCTTGAAGCGCTGTACGTTACACGAACTTCAGTAGAACTTATATGTTTTAGATCAAGGTGTTTTAAAGTTAACTTAGACTTTATTCTTTTCCTGAAGACATGGGCACCAGAAGAATAAAATTCTTTTATGAACAGTTGATGACAACACTGCACTTACTGCCCATTAGGTGGCAATGTGCCCCACTTCTGCATATTAGAGGTATGACAAGGTAGTGTCAGATCTTGTCACTCCTAGTGTAGAACAGTGCTGTGTCATCAAATCCTTAATGAATGATGAAGTGAAACCAGAAGAAATTTGCCATAGGTTACATGCGCAGTATGGCAAAGAAACCTTGTCACATACAAGTGTCTGTGATTGGTACAGTAAGTTTCTGAAAGCCATAAAGAAGTCTCAGTTGACAGCTGTATGCAGTGTTGAACACTTGCTATGTTGAAGTGCAGATTTTGGGAAAAGGCAAATTACAGTGTGTGATACTGCATAAAGCTATCCATAAACACTTATTTTTCTAGAAAGTTTTTGCTTGATGGGTCCCGAAGATGTTAACATTTTCGACCAGAGAGCACAATGTGTTGCTGTTTCTACCGAACATCTGCACCATTTTGAATTGGTGGAAACTCATTCCTAGAGTAAATAGTGACCTTTGATCAGATGTGAGGGCACCACTTCACTCCAAAGTCAATGTGATCCAGTATGGAATGGTGTCACAAGTGATATCCACCACTGCAAAAATTCAAAAGACAACTGTCAGCTGGAAAGATCATGGCAGGTGTGTTTTGGGATTCAGAAAGAGTGATTCATGTTGATTTTCTTCCACATGGTGTAACAGTTCATTCATAACTTGCTTCAGAGTGATGTGCACCAAGACCTGGGAAACTCAAACAAGATGATCATTCTGCATGACAATGCTTGTATGCATATGGAAAATTTGATGAATGTGACATTGGCAGGAGTGGGCTGGGAAATCATAAACCACCCTCCTTACACCACTGACTTAGCCCTTGGTGATTTTCATTTGTTTGGACCAATGGAAGTGCACTTATGAGGACAGAAATTTTAAACCAATGAACTCAGATGCAGTGCCTTGAACTGGCTATGTGGTCAGGATAAAACCTTTTATGCTGCTGGCATCAGTAACTTGCCAAGACAGTGGAAAAAATGTATTAGTGTAAAGGGAGAATATCTTGAAAAGGAGCAAGAATTTGGCATTTAGGCATATATATTCTTTCTGTAAAAAATAAAGTCCTGGTCGGCCTTGAACTACCCTCAATCTGTGAAACACTAACATATTTCAGTACAGTGCAAAGGAAGGAGATCTAATTTCTGTTTTGTAATGAAGATGAAGGATCTAATTTCTGTTTTGTAATGAAGATGAATAGGCCCAGATTTTCACTTTGTATTTGTTAATGAATATAACCCTGAATACTGACAGAATTGCTGTGGAAAATGTTCGTTTGAGGCCTGTGAGATAAACACCATACAGGTAGTGCAGTCTGTCAGACATTTGAAACAGCTTACCACATAATCAAAAACCTGACGGACTCAAGGAACTGTATCACTGATTTATTAACACTTTCACATTAATTACCAATTCTCTCTTGAAAGGGGGTTACACACAGATGTGAAGGAATAATATGTGTAAGTGAATTGTTGGAAGAAGTATATGGACTACAAATATCCATTAAATTGTGTCATGTATTTAGTTTAGTGGACTGTCATGTATATTGTTTTGTATGATATTTAAGGCATAGCCTTTTATGTTATATTACTATTTTCAGGGAAATCCAGCTTCTTAAAATATTGAAGCACAAGAATGTGATAGGATTGGTTGATGTCTTATGTAATGAAGAGAAACAGAAAATGTACATGGTATTAGAATATTGTGTTGGAGGTCTCCAGGATATGTTAGAGAGTACACCAAAAAAGAAATTTCCACTTTGGCAGGCACATGGGTATGTTCATGTTATTACTGTGTAAATTGTAACAAGGTAACTTTTGTAATTTTTAGTTCAGTGATATTTCAGTTCTTCTTAAGATTAACATTACATCTTCTGAATTGAGCACTGCCTATGTAACAAGTTATTTTGGCTCATGGAATGAAGTTTCACAGAATTCTCCAAAATTTTGGGCTGTGTTATATCTTCTACTATTAAAAATAAACAACAGCCAGCTGAGATGTGAGGCAGGTTCACTTGCAGGACAATGTCACTTCAAAGGACATCTGTTGAAATTGGGTCCACTTGTGGAAAGTGCCAGAACAAAGACCTTACAGCTGTATGTGATTGTGAGGTTCTGACAGATTTAAGATAGAGCATTAATTCAGAAAGGAAATGTACAGAATAAAATTTACTCACTGTGTAAGTGCTGGTGTAGTCCACCCTTTGAATCCGTGATCTGCAACCTGCTCATGTGGAATGGTCCATGTTCTCTATAATCCTTGGTCACATTTGGAAATGCCATTAAATCTTCATGAGCTCTTGCAGTATGGAAAATCCAGTGTTTGGTCATGAACTTCTGTTCTCATACTGATTTGCCACAGTGTTTCATTCTTGGTTTATTCCAGTTATCACATATCAATCACATCTGCTCTTTGTAGTTGATGACTCTTCCATTGAGTTAGTTAGATTTTATATGTAGAAATTTTTAGGACAGGGAGCTATTTCTGAACAAATAAATAAGTCCAGCTTGAGCTTCATGTCAAATGAAGTAAATTAGAGTAAGATAGACCCTATGCTTAATTAAGCACCGTGCCATGAAAGATATAAGAGCAAGCAGAGATGTAGTTCCACACATTTTTAACCTCAGCACTAGATGAAAGTGAGTGGTCACCTTCATGCTTCAATTGCTTTGCCCCAGGGAAAGAGCCTCTGGTACCCATTGAATAGGTGGCTGGGTGGGCCCCTTATCCAGCTTGGATATGGTGCTAAAAAGAAAAATCTATGCTCCAGCTTAGAATCAAACTGTGATTCTCTGGTCATCCGGCATGTAGCCTGGTCACTGTACTGAATGAGTCCATGTTAAATTGGATCTATATTTCTCTGATTATGTGAACCTGTGGATTCTATAAAAGTCAGGATATTTCTTGTCCAGATGCAGAACTAAGCTTTTCAAGGAAGATTCTGCTCTGTGTAGTTAAACAAAACTCAGTTCGTAGGGTTCGAGGTTCTCACAGTGGTGGTTATGAAGAGTCCCCATCTTCTGGGATGTAAGGCTGTGTAGCCTATTGAGAGTCAACTGCCATATCAGAGGAACATGTCACCACCATCTTGAGGCTATATTTCTCTGATACAAAGAAGAATTAGTTAGCTCCACAGTTTTAATTAGACCTAAATGAAATCCATTAAGTAATTTTGGAGATAAAATATGCAGTGTAGACAAGCTCTCTCTTATCCAGTCATTTTATACATTTTGTGTAAAGAGCAAAAACTAAAAAGATATTGTATATTTTATTTCACATTGATGATTTAATATATCTTTAGGAGATATGTTGAAGTAAGGGGAACATCTGGAAGTTGTGTTTTCAACAGCCTTGAGTGCCAACGAAGCTAAATTAATGAGCTTTCAGTGGGCCTGGTTAGTGAGTATGGTTTGTCTTCAGTGATAGAGAAATGTTTAAAAGAGGAGAATGTAAATTAATCAAGAAAGAATCAGTGATTCCCATGGACAAATTGAGGTGGGAGGAGACATTGATGGTGCCATTCATGGTATAGATCAATGCATTAATGCTTTCAGAGTAGGATATTTTGTTGCATTCATGAAGGACATAAAGCCAGGTCATAGAATTTCTTTAGAAGTCTGGGTTATATGTCACTCTTGCACAAATTAACAGCTAGTTTTATAAAGTGACTTGCTTTGATGCAAAAGAGACATAAAAGTAGTACATTTCCAGTCATGTTTTTTGTCATGTCATCTGTCATGTGAGTCTAAACTTATGTGATGTCTTGGAATGATGATTAAAGGGAACAGTTATATTCTAAATTGTTAATGTAGCATGTAAATATTGGACTTGCATTTCATCATCAGGTATTTCTGCCAGCTTGTTGATGGCCTGGAATACCTCCATAGTAAAGGAATTGTTCACAAAGATATTAAACCAGGAAACCTTCTCCTCACTCTTGATGGAACACTGAAAATTTCAGACCTTGGGGTTGCAGAGGTAGGTATTTTATTATCCTTAATTTTGTATCATGCATAATAGTTATTGTTACACAAAAAATATTTTAAAATACAACTGTATTCCCTTTCCCACTAATGTTTGCTTGCCTGTCCATAATAAAGTATTTTAACAGCAGTTTAAGAGACTTTACCTGAATTATATAGATTTTTGTTACATTTTGGGGTACCAGGTTTCATTATATACAGAAACTGGTTTGGAATTTCTTGTATTCTTGCTGCTTCTATCATGATTTTTCTGTCCACTCTTTGAGCAGAAATAGAACTAAACTTTCTCTCCTCTGCAATAGTTTCACAAATTCTTTCACCCAAATTGATTGTCCCTTTTCTCTGTGAAGTCTAGAATGTGTGGAGTTTTGTCCTTTTATCATCAAGACTAAATAGAGAATTATAAAAGAAAAATCAGACCTAAATCAGTGACTGCATTTTAGTTTCATATTTTACTAACCATTATAATGCATGAGACTTACGCAGTAATACTGAGTGTGTTAACAAAGTCTGTGATTGATGTAGATTTGTGATTGCTTTGTGTTTCTTGACAGGCACTGGATATGTTCGCTGAGGATGATACCTGTTATACAGGACAAGGTTCACCTGCATTCCAACCTCCTGAAATTGCAAATGGTCACGAAAAATTTTCTGGATTCAAAGTTGACATCTGGAGTAGTGGTGTTACTCTGTAAGACTTGAAAGATGTTCAGTCACAGTTTTCAGTTGTATGGTACTTTCTGCATTTGCAGTATTTTGAAATTGATTTATAATATTTCTGCATGCAACTCAAGAAGTTTCTTATGTTTGACTTAAAAAAGAAACATGAAATATTTTCTGGTACATTGTATTTTATTATATTTATTCATGTGTGGTACTTATATATATGTGCACTAAAATATAAGCATGCATTTATAGTATAAATCCTACAGTCTGTAGTCAGATCGTGGTCATCTGGGTTGTGGCACTTTGTAGTCTGTAGGCGGATACTGATGTTTTGGAGGAACATACTCTCCATCTTCAGGGTTGAAGTGTGTAGGGTAAGGAATTGGTTTGACTATGTTGTCAGGTTGCAAGAAAAGTGGTCACTGAAACCCATGGGAAGGGCTAAGAAAATTGAGTCCGGTCCAAGCCAGTGGGAACCACAGGTAGGAAAGTGTCCCTTTTCAGGGCCACAGTATTGTTTCTTTTGTCACAGTACAGTACAATACAGTACAGTGCAAGATTACATGATGTCAGCCCTGAAGACCACAGTTTGAACAAGCACTACTGTGAAAATCTCAAGTTATATGTACACTCCCTACATTTCCATAATGATAATTTATATTCTTTTTTATGAAAATGTATTCTTATTGCATGTTTTACAAGGATTGAGGTACTAGTTTCAGTGCCATTATTTAATAGAATTCATGTAGATATGTTGCTGAAGCAGATATCAAATCAGTAATATGATGCACAGTATTATAAAAGACTGCCAAGGTCTTCCACTGCCCTGTACATCTTCATGGCATGCTTAACAAATTAACCTGTACCCTTATCATATATTGCTTAGAAATACTGGGGGGAGGGGTGGATAGTGTAATTACTCTTATTTTGTAATTCTTCTCTGCTTTGAATTTTGTGTTTTGAACGTAGGGATGAAATTTTGTGGATTCTTTACTTACGTTTCCAAGTATATAAATTGTGAGAACTTGGTGGGTTATTCCAGTAGCAACATGTCTGATTTTGATTTAAAATGTATACAGTTTATATTCTTGCTAACTTTAATTATTATGTACCTCATGATCTCCAGAATGATGGAATATTACCACAGTTTTTTCCTTCTGTATCCATCCCATTTTATGGATCTATATTTTCCTCTCATACTTCATTCAGCATTACATCTCCACAGCAGTTGATACACCATGTTAAAATGACGAAGAAAACTGTAAACCGTTAAATGTGGTGTTATTACTGTAGTTTGTTAATAAAGTTATACTCAAAATAAAGATAATAGACTTTTTTTGTACAGAGAGAGGCTCAACAAACTCTAGTTAGTGTGACACTGAAGCACTAGGATAGAGAATAGAAAATACCTGTAATTTATTGTGCTTTTATTACCATCTCCATTGATACAGAAGAGCTGTTTGCCATGTTTGCCTTACACAAGGAAACTTTGTTGTCAGTTCCAGGGAGTTTTGGCTTCTTAGTTTATTTTTTATTTTTATTTCATTTTCTTTACTGTTTTGAGGACTGCACTTTGCTTCCTCCAGTGGCAGTCAGAAATCCAAATGCTGTAGATCAGTTTCCATGCTTATCTGTGAAAGTTTTATTTGAAACTGCAACATAAAAACTTTTCTGGTTCATACTAAATTACTCAGGTCATCTCTTCCTTTGAATTGATTAAAAAATAAATAAAATAAACAGTATGTAATTTAGTTGGCATTCATGTATAACTGTGAATATGAAAGTTGTGAATTTCCCCTCAGATATTCATAATGATTAGAAATATTAGGATGGGTTATGTGAAGTAAACATCAAACCAGTGTCAGAGAGAGTTGACAGATTTTGATCAGAGGAATCATAAAAGGTTATATTTTTAAATATCTATTTAAATGTCGCATATTTTAAAAATTATACCTCTGCAAGAAGTCAGTGTTTTAGTCTTTAGGACATGATAAATGTTGGCTCTACCGTGGGACTGAAATTCACAAGAACTACTACATGGAACTCTCTCTCTCTCTTTTTTTGCTTCGTGGGGGTGGAGTCTAGCTGGGTCCACTCGGCACGGCAGCCACTGATTAGCCTGCCCCAGGTGACTATGTTGATGGAGAATTTGGTGGAATGAATATTGGCAGGGGAAACCAAAGTACTCAGAGAAAACCCACCCCAGCACCATTTTGTCCACCACAAATCCCCCTTGACCAGACCCGGGATTGAACCAGGGCCGCCGCGGTGGGAAGCCAGCAACTAACCACTTGAGCTATGGTGTGGCTGAACTTACTCTCACTTTTGTGTGTATTGATCAGTTAGGAGTTTAATGTATTGCATTATGAAACATAATGAAAAATGGAACTTTTCTTTTGGAATATACTAATTTCACTTAATGTTTTATGCTCTCTTTTGTAGATACAATATAACAACTGGTCTCTATCCTTTTGAGGGTGACAATATTTATAGATTATTTGAAAATATTTGGAAAGGAGAATTCAGTATTCCAAGTGAAATTGAAAATCCTTTGCGTGCTTTGCTGGAAGGAATGCTGCAGAAGGACCCAGAGAAAAGACTATCGTTACCACAGATACGACAACATCTGTGAGTAGTGCATTAAACTAATTTTTGTGCAGATTATTTGTGAGGAAGCAATAAAGTGCAAGTCATATTAATTTACTAGGACATATTAAAAGTTCTTATACTTAGTGAGTAAAATATGTTGTTATGGCAGACCACCAGTTCTGTAGATGTAACATTACAATTCTGATGACAGTTTTATGTAATATTATACACTGTTGCATTGAGTATATATATAGACCACATTGTATATGGTACACCTGTATAGCTAGTTAAATTAATCAGCGTATGTTTCAACAGCTATAGTAAAGTCCATAAAGGTATATATTTGTCTGCTGTATCTCCTATTCAGAATGATCTAAAACAAGAAAATAATTTATCAGCATTTCTTTTCAGTTTTGTGTGGAACAAGGTAAACATATCAAAGAGGATGGGGGGGTGGGTTTGCACAGAATCATTGGCAGAAATGAGGAATTCATACAGGATTTGTCAGAAAACCTGAAAGGAAGATACCATTTGGAAGATTGAAGTGTAGATGGAAGGCTAATATTAAAACAGACCATAAAGAAATAGGGTATGAGGTTCAGAACTGGATTTGTTTGGCTCAGGATTAGCATCAGTGGTAGGTTCTCTTCAACATGAAAATCAACCTTTGTGTGCTATAAAAGGCAAGGAATTGTTTGACTAGCCAAATGACTATTAACATATCAAGAAGGACCGTGTTCCATGAGTTAGCATCATCAGGAAGGGGTAAGAAAATCAGTTAGGACTGAAATTGAGTTGTTGATAGAGTTTCGTTCATAATGATGACATCTGTTCAGGAAATCATAAATGTAATAAAGAAGAAGGGGAAAAAAAAACCCATATTAGGTGCAGGTAAGGAGACATGCTTGAAAGTAAACAAAGGGAAACTAAGTATTGTATACATCCATCTTATACCACCAGATTGCAGGGCAAGACCATAATATAAATAAAGCCAATAAATTTGTTGGAACTTATCAATTTCAGATGTTTTGGAACAATACAGTTACTATACATTAATTAAAGAAATTAAGAGCTGATTAAATTTGGGAAATGCTTCTTACCATTTAGCTCAGAATTTTTTATTTTGTTGTCTCTTGTCAAGAAATGTAAGGACTGAAAGATACAAGTTTAGAGTTTTATACCTCTTATTTCATACAAATCCAACTTGATTTGTCATCCTAAATGAAGAATATAGACTGATGGTATTTGAGAACAGGATAATGAGGAGGATATTTTAACTTAAATGATAGGAATTAATAAGAGGTTGGAGGAAACTGCATAATGAGAAATATAATTAGGATGATCAAATCAAGGATCAAATGGACAGGGAATGTAGCATGCATGGTAAATGGATAGGAAGGTTTAGTTGTAAAACCTGAAAAGAAGAGACCACTTGGGGTACCTAGCTTTAGATAGAAATATTATTAAAATGGTTCTTATTTATTTATGTATGGTGTATGTAATGACACTGTCAGTAACTCAAGACTGTATGGCATCAAATGGTAGGATGGTAATGAATAATGGACTAGAAAAGATGTGGAAAAAAGGGTTTCCAGGCCAAGATTTGAACCTAGAACCTCCTGAATATGGAAAAGGAGTGCTGTCTACTTGACTGTGACATTCATGAAATGGTCTTCAAGAAACAGGATATGAATTGTGTGGACTGGATTAATCTGCTTAAGGATAGGATCCTGTGGTGAGCTTTTTTGAACACAGTATTGATCCTCTGGGTTACCGAAAATGCAGGAAACTTCTTATCATGGAGTTTGTTGCTTAGTTTCAGGATGTCGATGTTGAAGACTAAGAACCTAAAGTTAAATACTGAACCTGGGCTGATTGACTGTGCATTTATACTTCATTCATTCATTCATTCATTTATTCACATTCCATAAAATCCTTACATGGTTTAAACAACCAACAGATATAGAAATCGTCAAGTAGTATGAACTCATCTTGCTTATAAATCAAGCAGTTGTCAATATGTTTGCAATATAAATCAAATTAAAAAGTTAAATATATAAATTACCCTTAGCATAATGTTGCCATTGTCATCTATTAAAATATTCCTCCAATGTATAAAAGGANATGTACTGTGATCTTAGGGGCAGTATGTTCATATCCCTAAAATGTTCTCTACATGACTCTCTAAGATCACAGCCTTTGATCAATCTTATGGCTCTCTTTTGCAATTTGAAAACCCTTTCGGCATGCGATGAGTTTCCCCAGAATATCAGGCCATACGTCATAACCGAATGGAAATATGAGTAGTAGATACTTTTTAATATTTTCATAGATACTACTGGTTTTATATTTCTGATCATGTAGCAGGCTGTAGTCAATTTCTTTGTTACCTCATCAATATGTCTTTCCCAGGTCATGGCGTTTTCAATGGTCAGTCCAAGAAATTTAGTATGATTTGTGTTTGTAATAATTGTTACTAAATCTCCTATATCCCTTTATACCTGGTTTTTTGCAGTAAAGTTTATATAATATGTTTTCATTGTATTTAAAGACATTAAGTTTTTTTTGAACCAGTCATCTAGTAAACTGTATACTTAGTTTATTGTATTTCTAAACATAATTGGATTTGCATGTGAGATTAACACACTGGCATCATCTGCAAATACTGATGGTTATTTGAACCATGATTGGCTTCACACTATCTTTCCTTACAAATTCCAGAATAGATGCTAAAAATAAAACCACAGCCATCTTCACATGCTTCTCAATTAATATTCAACTGCCGTTTCTTTTTGATGCTCTATAACTCAAAAGTTGACATAGCATTGTTTTATAATCCAAGAAATAAACGAGATTAAGAACATTGGCTTATGTACTCTGTATAAATAATTGTATTGTGATTGTCAGCTATGGTGTAGAAGGTATAGATTCAATAACTCTTCTGTTTACATTCTCAGAATGTATGTAAAATTAATTGCATTCTCCCATCTTTTAATCCAAACCTATACCTACATAAAAGATTTCCTCACCAGGATTCTGCAGTATTTATTTTTTCTCATATCTTAGCTGCATGATTAATCCAACACAGTCTCCTTAAGTCGGGTGTTGTTATAATGCATATGTCATGTGTTACTTAACATCAGAAGCACCAGGCTAGTTGGTGCAGTGGTAATGCTGTAGAGTTGTATTTGTGGGGTGCTTAGTTTCTCAGTGCATCCAGGCAAATGCTGGGTAGTACCTCAGTTAGGCCATGATTGTTTCCTTTCAAATCCCTTCTTATTTATTATTCACCAGTCACCATAATATTCAGTGATATATAGTCTGGGATACTGACAGCATTGGAAAAAAAATATCTATGCCAATTATTGTGTCCTGAAAATGTCACCCAGGTCATCCAGAGAATTAATCCATTTCCAAGGCTTGGAAGCTTGGAACAGTTTTATATAGTGGAGGGCTTTAAATTCTGTGCCCAATTCATAAGCTGCAGAATCAGTACTTTTTGGCAGTCTAGCTGCTTATTCAGAGTGTAACTACCCTCCGTGTCTGCATACAAAGCATGCATTATTCCATAGTGGACAGTGTATGCACCAAAGTGGACAAACTTTCCGTAAAAAGTAAAAGTTTTTTAAAAAATGTTTGTTGTAAGAAATAACACTCTAACACTCATGTTGCTTGAAAAGACACTGTAAAATTTAACATTGTCTGTTATTTAAGCTGGTTTACACTCAAGCCAACAAGGACTCTAGAATATGTTCCTGTTCCTCCACTACGTGGAGATGAGTTTCACACAATGACAGTGTTGCCATATCTAATGGAATATCATTATGGAGATGATTCAGCCACTACTGAGAATCATACAGAATATATCACAGAGCATGAGTTAAATGGTAAGATAGAGTACTTTGTTACCTTTTATTTTTTTTTCCTTTTTAAACGATGTTTTGCATAGTGGTAGAGTGCTCTAATATTATAAAACAGTAAAGAATGGAATGTTACAGACAGATCTGTCTGTAATGAAGGTACTGATTTACTGTAGAAAGTCTTAAGATCCCATTGAAGTGTACTATTTTTTGTGGCATTTTATCTCTGTGCAAGAAGACATATAATGAAGTCCCTATATATTGAACACAAAATAAACTACTTAACCAGGAGCTTCCAAATTATAGGACAGGGACATGAAGATTGTTCTGACCAGAGGGCTAGAATTGTAGTTGTGTGGACACTGCTGTGACACTGTCTTCTGATTAGCAGATAGGTTAAGATTATATTACATTAATAAAGGTATGCTAAGTATGCAAATTACCTTCCACAGAATTGTCATTCAGTATTTGTTTTATATCCACCTAATACTAAGAAAAGGAATTTTAACTGCAATTATATTTAACTGCACACTTCCTAAACATATCTGAAATGTTAGTGCATGCCAGGCAGATCACACAGCAATTTTATATTACAATTATGATATTCACAAACTTCAACATGCATTACTTTTTATCCAATATATGAATTCTTGATAATTATAGAGGTATTAGTCTTCCTAATTCCAGATATGAAATGTATATCAAAATTTTGAAAATTAAAAGGTGTAAATTCTCTAACAAAATAACAGATGAAGTATAAAATGGCTGTTGCAAAAGAATGTCTTGTGCAAATGGGAATTCTCTCTTAAGGTAATGATAACAAATGCGGGGAGTTCAGTGTACATATCCACAAGCCCTTCATAGATTTAAAAAAAAAGTCTTTGCAGAGTTGACAGAAAAATATTGTTTGAAATCCTATAAACTGGTCAGATACTATATGAAGCAGGGGCCACGCCATATCTCAAGCAGTGAGTTGCTGGCTTCCCACTGTTATGGCCCGGGTTCAAACCTGGATCTGTTCAGGTGGGATTTGTGGTGGACAAAGTGGTGCTGGGGCAAGTTTTCTCCAAGTACTTCGGTTTCCCCTGCCAATCTTCATTCCATCAAATTCTCTGTCATCATAATCACTTAGGACAGGCTACAATAGGCCAAGCAGTGGCCGCCGTGCCGAGTGGACCCAGCTGGACTCCACCCCCCACTATGCAAATTTTAAGTTTACTACATGAAGTAATTACTGCAGTACTTAATATTTGTAAAATGAGCTGGATAGCAGTAAAGGTTGGACCAGAGTACTTAGAATGGAAACCAGTAAGTAGTATTTCTTTTCTGTTATTTATATTCGACATGAAAGACATTATCAGAAAATGGCAAGCATGGTTATAAAAAGAAATTTGAATGTAGGCACTGTACATTTTACAGATGACCAAGTTATTTTAGGAAACTCATTAGGTGAATTGCAGTGTTCAGTACAGTGAGCCCCCCTGTCCATGTTCTTTGTATATGCTTTGTTGAGGTGGGTTTGTTCATCAGTAGAATTTGTTGACATCATTTCAGAAGAAAGGAAGTTACAAGAATTAGAAGTGCACAGGCAGACAGTAATGGGAGATGGCACTATGAATCGACGTGGAGGGGGAAGTGGTACAAAACGACGATGGAGACGCCCCATCTCATGTATCAGTGTCAAGAAATTCCCATCCTGCAAACAGTCATGATGCCATACAACTATCTTGCTGAACATGAATTGCCCACAATAATGAAGGTAAGTTCTATGATATAAATGATACCATTCTTCATGAGAACTTCAAAACATTTATGAGATTCATTAACATTTAGGAGCCTTAGGATGCCATTACCTTCAAAATATTGTTCTTCTGCATTGGGAGAATATAATGGATTAGGTGGCACCATAGTACCATGACCAGTGAGTTACTGCTGCATAAGTTCTGACTGAAATGTACTGGGGCATTCTCATGTAGGTTCACAGATTTGCCCAGTCTTTGGGATGCTTACATTTCAAGATGCTTAAGATGAATTTCCTTCTGTAAACAGTCAAGAATCTTCTCATCTCTCCCCTCCTTCAATATAGGACTCTCAGAAATAGACTCACGGTACATGATTATCTGACACCAGAAGACTTTCAACATACCTTTCCTTTGTATGCTCCTGCTAGAACTTTGTGACTCTCAGCATTAGTGACTTCCACATGAAGGATTTTTGTTTGCTTTAAGGATCATACAGAGGAAACTACATTCTCTCACTCGTGGGTGGTTCTGTTGTGTTTATGAGTATACAACTGATCCTTATGCAGCTGTTGTGCTGTTCTTGCATCAGCTTTCTTAATACAAGTTCCCTCTAAACACTGTTTTTAGTCATCCTGTTCCAGGTTTTTAAGTTATGCCCATTAAATTTGTTAATCTTGCCATATCTTCTTTCACTCTTTTTAAGGGCCAGATGACAAAATTTTAGTGTCTATCATTTACACCGTTTCCTTTTAAGGCCATTATTTGTGAAATTAATTTACTTTGCACCTTGTGATTCACAAGTGTCTGCAAAAGTTAATATCTGCTGATTTCAATTGAGCTCTTCAGTGCTTAGAATTCTCCACCATAAGTTAATATACTGTAAAATAAGATAAGATAAAGGTAAAGTTGTCCCTGTGGTTAATTAAACACCATGCCATGAATACTTACAGAGGAGTGGCCATAGAGTTTCATGCATTATTAACCTTGACACATTGGAGGTAAGTGGTCACCTTCCCTTTATCCCTGAGGGAAAAAGCCTCAGGATTTGACAGAAGGCTGGGTGGGCAGCAGAGGTAATCTTAATGCTGTGAAGCGAAAAATATCTTGTTCCTGCTCAGAATCAAACCCTGATTCCTTGGTATCTAGTCTGTAGCCTAGTCATTTTATTGATTGAGCTATTCCAGCTCCTGTTCTGTCAAACATCATACATTAAATATAATTTGTATTGTTTTCTTTCTGTATTCCATGCAACATCAATTTTGCTGCTGGAGCAAGTCCTATATATAAAATTTATGGTGTTTTAGGCACGTGCCACCAGATGGTGAATTTGAAAGAAACAATATAAGCAAGTGGGCAGATATAACCTGAAGTAAATAATGTTTACAACCTGGACATGTCCACTCCATTTGTGCTACAAGGGCTTCTGAGAACAACCTGTGACCAGTGCTATAAAATATGAAATGAACACTGATTCTAAGAGTTTATAATTAATTTCATTTGAATGTTTTGTAAGTATCTGTGGGTATGTGTAAATATCTAGTAGCCTTTTTTAAAGTTTGAATTCAATGTGAAAACAATTTAAAATTTGAGTAAAGTAACTATTTTTATCAGTAGACATTTAATGATTTCTTCTTTTCTGATATACATTGTGATCTTAACATTATTTTTTGTTTTTCTTCTTAAGAAGTCTGAATATGTTTGATTTGAAGCTTAAACTATGGTATTTGCACAGCCTTTGTTTAACTGTATGTGCATGAGTGTGTGTTGGAATGTGTTTATGAACAATGAATCTTTGTGCCATGCTATATGATAGCTCTAAAGAGAACTGTGTAGTACCCATAATATCCTGTCAGTAGTGATGTGTTGCACACATAGACTTGTTCAAACATATCAGTAGGTCATCAAGATTTATAAATATAACACACTTTATTTTGAGAAGAGTAAGCAAGTAAAAGTAGTGACAACTATCTGCCATAGTAATCTATGTTGGAAAAGATATCATTGAATTATAGCTTATCAAATGGCCAGAAAGTTGTAGGAGCTCATTATAATATTGTATATCAGAACTAATCAAAATTTTGAAGAAAGCAGTCTTCTGGGATTTGGCACCATGTATACGTGGTGTTAACCGACGTTCCTCCGAAACGTCGGTTAACACCACATATACACGGTGCCAAATCCCAGAAGACTGCTTTCTTCATAGTCACCGCCGTGAAAGCCTCAAATCTTACATAATCAAAATTATTATTGTGAATAAATGAGAGTAAATGATCGAGGTGAATGATATAGGTGAAAACTTACCAAATATTTCATTATTAAAGGTTAAAGTTAAGACAGAATATTGGAATGTAGCTAACACTGAGACATTTTCCTCTGTTGATATGAAAGTTCATGGACTGTGTGCCCAAGTTGGGATCCTATTACTTGCATTGTAAGAATTCAAACAGGATTTACACTTGGCTTAGAACAAGTATTCCTGAGACTATTGCAGTGATTGGAACCTCATGTTCATTCACTACAGATAGTGAAATCTGTAGGTCGGCTGTTCTGCATATGAAAGTTGTACATTAGAATATCGTAGAACCAACAGTAACCACTCAGCCTTTGGCCTTCTATAGAAATGCAAGAAACAAAGATGAGTATTTACAGTATGAGGTGCAAGAGTCAACCCAATGACCTTGGAAAGTTGTTCTTAATAAATATTGATTTTCCTCCCTGGCATCCCTCTCACACATATTTGTTCTGCTTGAATTCTGTCATCAGACCTCATACTACATCCCTCTCTACTCTACATTACTTCTTAAAAATTTGGTCCCTTACATAAGCGTTGCATTAGAAATGTGATATTAAATTAAAGAAAGAAATTAAATCCAACACTAGAGGCCTGGTCTCCTAGCACATCAAGGAACATGGTTATTATTTTTAAGATTTAATCTCAAATTTATTTGATCCTTGGACTATTTAACACTTTTCTAATGGCAGAGGTTACATAGCGTCAAGTGGTAAGATTATGAATAGGAATGTGAAAGAATGTGGATTTAGTCATCATCTGTTTTGAAATACTACCCAAGCATTTACCTGGAGGGACTGAGGAGAGCCATAAACATCACTCAGGGAAGGTAACATCCAGGTCAAAATTAGAACCCGTGACCCCCTGAAGACGAAGCAGAAGTGCTAACCACACAGCCATGATGTTTGTTTAATCTCTAGTCAATTTGAAAATTACATTGAAGTTTCTACTCATAGTATCACGTTCAGTCCTCTGTAGGAACGTATTTTTTTAGCTAATGTGATATTCCTGTCATGAACATAAATAATATCCTGTTACAGGGGTTTGCATTTTCAGTTCTGCTTTTAATCAGCATCAGATATTCCCTGTACAGAGGTTAATAAATTAATATTTTCAATTTTTCCTGCTATGAAATCTTTTGGTTTGTGTTCTTAACATCAGTAGAGAATATATGAGAGTGAAGGAAGTCAACATTGAAGAGTGCTTTTCATGGTGTCTGTACCTGCTCTGAGGTCAGTTTCATAGTATGAATCTTAGAATTGTAAAGTTTAAGCTTATTACATATTAGTTACTCAGCTAGTAACTGTATTGGTGTTCAGTGATTTTCCTCATTCCCCCAGCTGAATGCTGGAATAGTACCATAAAGCAGGCTATGACTTTCATATTTTTCCAAATCTAATATCCAACCATTTCTTTTACGGTTTCACATAACTTACACAGAATAAGAAAGTAACAGACTAGAGTGTTTTGCTTGAAAGCTGATTTTGAAAGAAATATGAAAATAGCCCCGCATGATTTTTTTGCCAGCAGGATTATATATGGTTTAGTTCTACTGCATCTTCAGTTCATAATTCCCATAATTTTTGGTTCAAACTAATATAGCCTGTATGAGGAGGACACTTAAACAGCATAGCCACACTAAAGTTGTCCACAGACATCATTTCATTATCGTTCTTAAAATTATGAATTCCGTGAGATTATCTGTGTGAGTAAATATCAGCCATATTGCCTGTCTTATGTTGTGGGAGAAATGCTGTGGTTATCTTTCACGATAACAGTATTCATACTGGTAAGCTATGAAAATGTGGAAAATATGTAAAGTTATGCTAAATTTAATCCTTTCAGTGGTGACTTAAAGCTCAGTTTATTTCAAACTTATAACATCCATCATTATTGCATCCAGAAGCCATGACATTCCATGTGGTGCTGTTGTCTTCTGAGAAAATGTGCAAAAGCCATCATGTCGCCTAAGAAATTTTGGGACATAACAGGTACTATACAGCACTGAGCCCAAAAGTGTTCTCAGATATACTGAATAGGAACAGAAAGTAAATCACAGATAATTTCTGGGAATGCCACCGAAGCAGTTAATTAGGTCTACATATGCTTACTCTTCTCTTGCTCTAAAATGTATTTTATAAAATTAATGTAGTTTACAGAGTAAGATCATGTAAATGCCAAAGCTTTCATAAGCAAACCTGTTAGTTTACCTGGTGACAGCATCCAAAGGTGCAAAAGTGCTTGAGTCTGTGGGTCAGGATTTAGGCCCTGGAAGTAGAAAATAATGATTGTACAAGGTGTGTCCCAAAAGTCATGAAATATATTTCTTTCCCGCTCTCCTATTGGTCGGAGCGCGCTGGAACCGGTTGGGTTAGGGGGAGGGAGGCCTTTAGCTTCACAGTGCGAACAATGTCAGTCTGCTCGAGCATCGGAGGTGTCAGTATTGCTGATTTAGTGCACCCGTGTTTTGCGACCACGTCATGGCGCGCAATGGTGGATACTTTCGAACAACATTGGGCGGTCAAGTTCTGCACAAAGCTTAACAAAAAAGCTGCCAAAACTCATGAACTGCTTGAACAAGCCTATGGGGAGTCTGCTCTATCATATGTGCAAGTTACAAGATGGGTGAAGAAGTTTAAGGAGGGCCAGGAAGGAGTGGAAGATGACCCCTGCTCTGGACGGCCATCAACAAGCCAAACCGATGAAAATGTGAATCGTGTGCATGATTTGTTGAATACTGACCGTCGAATGACTGTCCGGTTGTTGCCGACACTCTGAACATTCCAAGAACCATTGTGCATCGCATCATTATGGACGAATTGAACATGCGAAAGGTGTGCGCCAAGCTGGTCCCCAAATTGTTGACGGACGAGCTGCCGCAGCCACCCCACAGCCCCGACCTAGCTCCGGCCGACTTCTTTTTGTTCCTGAGGATCAAGACTGCATTCAAAGGACGCCGTTTTTAAAGCATTCAGGCTATCCAAGCGGCCGTGACAACAGCTTTAAATGAGGTTCCCATCGAGGCCTTTGAGGGGGCGTACCGGGCATGGGAGAGTCGGTGGAAAAAATGTGTAGATACTCATGGACAGTACTTTGAAGAATATTAACACTTTGTACCGATATCATCAATAAATTTAAAAAATATATATATATATTTCATGACTTTTGGGACACACCTTGTAAATGTACACTATGGTAAACAATTTTCTCCAGCATAAGGAGATACAGAAGACTGTTTCATTGTTAACTCCTTCTAAATTGTTAGCATTTGTTTAAATTTTCTATGTCAGTGCCATTGTAAGTAAATGGTTGTTACTTAAGAACTTAGTGTATTGTATGGCAAGTTTCACCAATGTCCATTTACTTTAATAAAATATAATTTATTTATGGGATTTATAAGCATCACTTTGTGTTTCAGAAAATTCAGATTGTGTTGTACAGGGTAATTGTTTAGTAATGCTGTATTTCACTTTCATTCCTGTCCTTATAACAGACAGAAATGCATAGACACCTACATTTTTATTGTGTTGTGGGGGAAGGGACATTTCGAGCTCCTACATATCCAGTTCTTCTTACCAGTCAGTGCAAAATATTTTCAAGATATTAGGTGGTCTGTAAAATACATTCAGTATTTGATGTGATTATTTCTCTCACTATACGTTTTTGTGACTTCTAAGAATATGTAGAGGAGAGGTGGGTAGCTATGAGGTACTATCAGAAAGTTACCAGACTAGGTTAAAAAAGATACTGGCTTAACTTAATTTTGGCTGCCATCTCCTTCAAAATAGTCACCTTGGGAACTTATGCAGTGATCCCATTGTTTTTTCCATGCTTCAAAAGCACCATGGAAGTCATTTTCCTTAATGCTGTCAAGTACTGCTCGCAATTCCCTTTCAATATCAGACGCTGTTTCAAAATGTCATCCCTTCAGTTTCATTTTCAATTTGGGAAACAAAGCGAAATCACAGGGGGCTAAGTCCAGCAAGTAGGGAGGATGGGGAATGATAACCATGTTGTTGTTAGTCACAAATTCTGTGGTTTTTAGGGTCATGTGGGCAGGTGCATTATTATGATGAAGGAGCTAGTTGTGGTTGTGCCATAGTTCTGGTCTTTTTCATCCCACATTTTTTCTTGGGTGTCTCAAAACGTCGTAGTAAAATTCAGAGTTGACCATAGTGTTAGGAGGAACAAATTCATGGTTAACAATCTCCTTTATCCCCACGTGCTCTTTGTTGAACTCTGGAGCTGCTGTACCTTATTTGCTCTTGGTAATTGTGGGCTCTTCCACTGCAACGATTGTTGCTTCATTTCCTGAACATAACTGTAAATCCAACTTTCATCACCTATTATGATCCCAGAGATAAAAATTGGGGCCTTGTAGCTCAAGACACACCTTTACACACCACTGCTTTTGATCATTTGTCAAGAGTTGGGGGAACAAACTTTGCGGCAGTGTGGCACATGTTCAGATTTTCTGTTAAGATCTGGCAAACTCCACAACTCATCCAGCAGTGTCTGTGAGCTCATGGATTGTTTGGCGACAGTCTTCGTAGATGAATTCTCAAAATTTTTCAACACATTCTATCATTTTGCTGGTGCTTGGTTGCCCTGAACGTTCATCATCTTCAACTGACATTGTACCTGCCTTGAAACGTGAATGCCATTCAAAAACCGTTGTCCAGCTTAAAATTCTCCAAAAGCCTCATGAAGCATTTCAAGGGTTTTGGTAGCAGATCTACTGAACTTCATGCAAAACTTGGTGCGGACACTTTGCTCAATTTTGTCATCCATCACAGAAAAAATGAAACACA